TCACTTTAATTCTGGATCCTGGGCTTTCCCTATCATTCGGGTGTGGGTTTTCCTTTCTGTGGAAATAGATGGCTTCACTTCAGTTCTCCTTCCTGCTGTTTCCAGCGATGTTCTGCTAATAAAGTCACTTGTGATGTCATGTCTTGCATTTCCATTGGCCAGCTTATCTCTCCCTAGGGACTAACATCAATCATCACTCCTCTGGGATACCGTTTTCGTGAAAAATCAGCCAAAGAGGTCTTCCACTTAACCTACAATAACGTTCACTTCCAGTAAAGCCTGGGAGAAGGAAATACACTAAGAATTCTCTCTCTGTTAACTCTAGGTGACCTCCAAAAGCTCTGCTTCTTTTCAAGCAAACTTTTGTGATGGGCCAGTTTACTGAAGAATCCACTTTTCTCCCCGAACTCAAGTAATTCTATATTCCTATTTATAAAACTATCCTCTAAACTGCACACATATATTTGTATAAAATAAGGAATCTATTTACCATTCAGTAAATATTTGAGCACCTACTATGTACCAGATTTGTTCTAGGTGCCATGGAAAAAGTGAAATATCAGTGAAATAACTAAGATGATTATCATGAAATACTCAGCATTAGAAAAGGAAGTTAGAGAGCCAAAGAAAAATTGTACATAGAAGAGAAAGTTGAGGCAATTCTCTACATGGTATTAGCCAACCTCTCCCAAACCAGGCACCTAAAACCCAGCCATGCTTTTGATGACTCCTTTATTCATTATATATGATAGTGATTATCAACTTAGACTAAACTGCTGAAACAGAATTTGAATCCTATCTTTCACTAATTAAGGGACCTTTGTCAAATCATCTCACTGCTTTAGACCTTGCTCTCCTTATGTGTAAAATTAAATTACTAATACTGCCTACCTCATAGACCTGTTATAAGAATTAAATGCTGTATATTTGTACACGGTCTGGCACATGATAAATACTCAAAACATGTTGATGATGATGATTCAGACAAAAGATCTGGACCTGAATTATTTAGATAGTTTGGACCTGAATTATTTAGATAGTTCACTCCACTGTCCTACACTATGATTTCAAACCTAAGATTTTTTAAGCCTTGTTTACAGATGTAAATTCAGAGGCAAGATAATACAATTGAGAAAGGATGAATAGACTCTCACTGAGGATGAGACTTTCAGAAACCCAGAGTCTTGGTCACGTCACAAGGTCACCAAGAGATACTTTGTATTTTCCTTTCTTGTCAGCTCTTATGGAGATGACTGGGTTGTATCAGGAGCAATTTTAAAGAAGAGTAAACAGAGTTTATCTTTTAAAATCAAGTCCTAGAAAGGAAGCTAAGAGAGAGAATACACTAAGGAGACTTCTGTCCCTACACATAACAATTTCTATACTATCAGCTTACCCTTATCAGGAGAGTTTATATTGAAAGAGAGAAAATTTGTTTAATAGAAAATATTGAAAAGTGCTTTGTTTTTTTATCCTTTATAAACTTTATTTTTCTTATTGACATGAAACTCACATATAATAATATATTAGTTTCAGGTATACAACATAAAGCTTCGATATATGCAGATATTGTGAAATGATCACCACAGTAAGTGTAATTAATATCCATCCCTACCCATAGTTGCAATTCTTTTTCTTGTGATGACTTTTAAGATAGACTCTCAGCAACTTTCAAACATACAAAGCAATCCTGTTAACTATAGTTATTGTGCTACTGTGCTATATTACATCCCAAGACTTATTTATCTCAAAACTGGAACTTTTTACCTTTTGACCGCCTTTGCCCAGTTTGCCCACCCCCTACCCACACCTCTGGCAACCACCAATCCATTCTCTGTATCTATGAGTTCAGTTTTTTGGAGTTTTGTTGTTGTTGTTTTTTTTTTTTAGATTCCACATGTAAGTGGGATTATATGGCATTTGTTTTTCTCTATCTGACTTATTTCCCTTCACAAAATGCCCTCAAGGTCCATTCACGTTGCCACAAGCTTTCCTTCTTTTTTATGGCTGAATAATATTCCATTATATATGTACCACTGTTACTTTATCCATTCATCCATTGATGGACACTTAGGTTGCTTCCACGTCTTGCCTATTGGTAGTAATACTGCAGTGAGCGTGGGGATGCAGATAACTTTTCAAGTTAGTGTTTTTGTGTCCTTCAGATAAATACCCAGAAGTAGAATTGCTCGATACCATGGTAATTCTATTATTAATTTTTAAAGGAACCTTCCTACTGTGTTTCTGGCTGCACCAATTTACATTCCCACCAACAGTGCACAGAGATTCCATTTTTTTCATATCCTCACCAAACTTGTTATTTCTTGTCTTTTTAGTAATGGCCATTTTAATAGGTGTGAGGTGATAACTCATTGTGGTTTTGATTTGCATTTCCCTGATGCTTAGTGATATTGAACATCTTTTCATGTACCTGCTGGCCATCTGTACATCTTTTTGGAACAATGTCTTTTCAGATCCTCTGACCATTTTTTTAATTGATTTTTTTTTTTTTTTTTTTTGCTACTGAGTTGTATGAGCTCTTTATATATTTTGGATATTAACCCCTTATCCGGTATATATGATTTGCAAATATTTTCCCCCACTATATAGGTTGCTTCTTCATGGTGTTGATGATGTCCTTTGCTTGCAGAAGCTTTTTAGTTTAATGTAGTCCCACTTGTTTATTTTTGCTTTTGTTGCCTTTGCTTTTGGTATCAAATCCAAAAAGTCATCACCAAGACCAACATCAAGGAGCTTACCCCTGTTTCTTCTAGGAGTTTTATGATTGCAGGTCTCAACACTCAAGTCTTTAATCCCCTTTGAGCTGATTTTTGTAGATGGTGTAAGATAAGGATCCGGTTTCATTCTTTTGCGTGTGGCTGTCCAGTTTTCCCAATATCATTTATTGAACAGATTATCCTTTCTCCACTGTATATTCTCGGCTCTTTGCCATAAGTCAATTGACTGTATATGTGGGTTTAGTCCTGGTCTCTCTACTCTGTTCTTTTCAGTTATGTATCTGTAAAAGTACTATATTTTTGAGTAATTTTACAGTAAAAGTTCTAGAATATTTTCCATCGGAATCAACTAATAGTTTCATTTTGTAATAGTTTTTCCATTCCTTGCTAAGTTTGGAACTCCCAGATACTGTGATTGGGAGGAATTTTATTACATAATGAAAAGAAAGATTGTGTTTTAGAATACACATATTTTAGTAAATTATTCTGAAGGTTTAAGAAAAAGATCTAAATGTCATCCTTTAAAAATCTTTGCACTTTACAGGTGTTTCTGTTTTCCCATCTTTTTACTGTTTATACTCATTATAAATTCCAGTAATACAGTTAGACAATGGCACCATTGGTCCATTTGGGTCAACAACTTTTTTAGGAATTACCAAGTCATTTTTCCCTCTACCAAGAGAAATACATGCATTAATATTTCAAGAGTAGAGGACACTTCTAGCATACTGCTACATGGTCCCTGGTGTTGATAGTCTTTGGTATTTCCAATTCAGAGTGCCAGCCTACTAAGTAACAGAAAACTCCAGTTCTGGGACACTTTCCTTTCTCCTGAAATTAGTGAAATTAGCACACCCTAACTTCTTTCTGAGGGCCGGTGAAAGAAAAAGTACTTTTGAACCACCCAGGATTAAACAGTTCTCCCTCGCTCTCTCTCCCTCCCTGCTCCTCCCTCCCTCCCTTCCTCTCACTCACACACACGCTCACACACAGCCTCCCTGCTCCGGCTTGTCTAACTTCCAAATTTGCATCCCAAGGCGAGGTAGGTGTAGCCTGAAGTGTGAGCTGTGAACTACTCCAAGCATCTCTCTGGCGAAAACGAAGAAATGATTGAGAAATCCCTCCCCAGACTG